GTCGTAAGTCGAGGGAGTCCTGCACTCCTGAAATACTGATGGAAGAATTGTTGCTGATCTCACAAACCACGTGAGCATAACCCATCCAGAAAACAATAACAATAATAGAGTTGGAAGGGTAGAATAGAATAGAACACAATAGAATTAAGAATAAGAAGAATAGAACAGAACAGAACAGAACAGAGAATAAAGAATAAGATCAGAATAGAACAGAATTAAGAATAGAATTAAGAATAAGAAGAACAGAATTAGAATAGAATGGAATAGAGAATAAAGAATAAGATCAGAATAGAACAGAATTAAGAATAGAATTAAGAATAAGAAGAACAGAATTAGAATAGAATAGAGAATAAAGAATAAGATCAGAATAGAACAGAAGAATAGAATTAAGAATAAGAATAGAATTAGAATAGAATGGAATAGAGAATAAAGAATAAGATCAGAATAGAACAGAATTAAGAATAGAATTAAGAATAAGAAGAACAGAATTAGAATAGAATAGAATAGAATAGAGAATAAAGAATAAGATCAGAATAGAACAGAATTAAGAATAGAATTAAGAATAAGAAGAATAGAATTAGAATAGAATGGAATAGAGAATAAAGAATAAGATCAGAATAGAACAGAATTAAGAATAGAATTAAGAATAAGAATAGAATTAGAATAGAATAGAATAGAATAGAGAATAAAGAATAAGATCAGAATAGAACAGAATTAAGAATAGAATTAAGAATAAGAAGAATAGAATTAGAATAGAATAGAATAGAGAATAAGAATAGAATAAAATAGACAACAACAAGAATAACAATAACAACAATAATAATAAAGTTGGAAGGGACCTTGGAGGTCATCTAGTCCAACCCCCTGCTCAGGCAAGAAATCCTATACCATTTCAGACAAATGGCTGTCTAATCTCTTCTTAAAAACTTCCAGTGTTGGAACATTTACTGCTTCCGGAGGCAGGTTGATCCAAAAAAACTAAGTGCTGTATATAGGAAGATGCTCTTAAAGAGAATCCTGCATTAAAAGCATTTATTTGAGGCTACAACCATTTTTTTTTATCGTAATGGATGCAGAAGATCTAGTCAATGCTATTGTTTCCCCTTATACTGATTTTGGATCAATTCCTAAACAATTTTGGAACAGCGAACAATGGATTTAGACCAAGCAAAGGATGCCAATGTCTTTTTTGTAGCCACCACAATGACTGAGGTCAGAGATTATTGTCTGGGGAAACACAGGTGGATTTTCAGGAGACAAAGAGTCTCAATCAGAATCAGAATAGAATAGAGCTGGAAGGGACCTTGGAGGTCTTCTAGTCCAACCCCCTGCCCAGGCAGGAAACCCTATACTATTTCAGACAAATGGCTGTCCAGTCTCTTCTTAAAAACTTCCAGTGTTGCAGCATTCACAACTTCTGGAAGCAAGCAGTTCCACCGGTTAATTGTCCTCATTCTCAGAAAGTTTTTCCTTAGTTCTAGGTTGCTTCTCTCCTTGATTAGTTTCCATCCGTTGTTTCTTGTACTGCTTTCAGGTGCTTTGGAGGTTGGCCCCACCTCTTATGATTTCAGATGAATGTATCTTATGATGATTATGATCATGATTTATCACTTGTTTGTTTGTTTGCACACTGAGACCTCTTGTGTATCGAATCACACTTGGCCAATAAAGATTCTATTCTATTCTATTCTATTCTATTCTATTCTATTCTGCATTCCATTCCATTCTACTGCATTAACAGAGGGATAGAATCAAGATCACGTGAAGTATTAATACCACTTTACAAGGCCTTGGTAAGGCCACACTTGGAAATACGGCATCCAGTTTTGGGCACCACGATATAAAAAAGATGTTGAGACTCTAGAAAGAGTGCAGAAAAGAGCAGCAAAGATGATCAGGGAACTGGAGGCTAAAACATACAAGGAACGGTTGCTGTAATTGGATATGTCTAGTTTAACGAAGAGAAGGAAGAGGGGGGACATGATAGCAGTGTTCCAATATCTCAGGGGCTGCCCCAAAGAAGAGGGAGTCAAGCTATTCTCCAAAGCGCCTGAAGGCAGGACAAGAAGGAACAGATGGAAACTAATCAAGGAGAGAAGCAATCTAGAACTAAGGAGAAACTTTCTGACAGTTAAAACAATTAACCAGTGGAACTACCTGCCTCCAGAAGTGGTGAATGCTCCAATACTGGAAGTTTTTAAGAAGAGACTGGACAGCCATTTGTCCAAAATGGTATAGGGTTACCTGCCTGAGCAGAGGGTTGGACTACATGACCTCCAACGTCCCTTCCAACTTTATTATTATTATTATTATTATTATTATTATTATTATTATTATTATTATTATTATTATTATTATTACTATTACTGTTGTTGTTGTTATTATTATTATTATTTCTCTTCTCTATTCCATTCTATTCTAATTTTCTATTCTATTCTCTAATCTATTCTATTCTAATTTTCAATTCTATTCTATTCTATATTCTATTCTATTCTATTCTATTCTAATTTTCAATTCTATTCTATATTCTATTCTATTCTATATTACAAAATGTGCATCCTTCTTGTGATTATGTCAGGAAGTTCATGAGATTAATCTAGTTAAGGTTTGATTAATTTCCATCCATTGTTTCTTGTCCTGCCTTCTGGTGCTTTGGAACATAAGTTAACCCCCTCCTCTTCTTATAGCAGCCCCCAAAATACCAGAATACACCTATCAGGTTCCCCTTGATCCTCCTTTTCTCTGGACTAGCCAAACCTAAATCCTGCAGCTGTTCTTCGTATCTTTTCTGTAACCTCTCCATATTCCCAGCCCGCTTTAAATATGACAAACACAACCCCTTCCCCTGCATCTGATCTCAAAACTCCAAACCACCTGTGTCCAGGTCCATAGCTAGTCTACAATTCGGTAAGGCCATCAGTACTGGCAGTCCTCGGCTTACGACCGCAGCGGAGCCCAAAATCCCAAGGCTAACCAACACAATGGAGTTTTTGTCACACTTTGCGACTTTTCTTCCCACCGTTGTTAAGTCAACCGCTGCGGTTCTTAAGTTAGTAACCCGGTTGTTAAGTGAATTGGGCTTCCCTCACAGACTTCGAGTGTCAGAAGGTCGCCAAAGGGGATCACGTGACCCCGGGGCACTGCGACCGTCATAAATATGAGACAGTTGTCCAGGGCCCGAATTTTGATCCCGTGACTCTAAGTCGCTTTTTTTCAATGCCGCACTGTAACTTTGAACGGTCACTAAATGAATTGTTGTCAAGTCGAGGACAACTTGTAACTCTAGTGAGAATGTTCAGTCACCACAATGAGAATGACATCCTCCCTTCTTTAGGAAACTCTCATTTCCTCTTAGAGGAAACTCAGAACAGCTGCATTCTTATGAACAGAAATTAATAAGAAAGAAACTGCAATGGCTGAATTGCCATGTAATCTATTTAGGTTAGGGCAGGGGTAGGCAACCTTGGCTCTTTTGTGACTTGTGGACTTCAACTCCCAGAATTCCTGAGCCAGCCATGCTGAGGGGAAAGGGAGAGGTTTCCAAGCATGGCTCAGGAATTCTGGGAGTTGAAGTCCACAGATCATAAAGGGATCATAGTTTCCTATATTGGCTCAGGAATTCTGGGAGTTGAAGTCCACGAGTCGTAAAAGAGCCAAGGTTGCCTACCTCTGGCCTAGGCCTAGGCCGCTTTCTGACTTGTGGACTTCCTCCCAGAATTCCTGAGCCAGCATGGGGGAACTATGGCCCCCTCATGACTCGTGGACTTGAACTCCCAGAATTCCTCAGCCAGCATGGCTCAGCTGGGAAACCTCTCCCTTTCTCCTCACCATGGCTGGCTCAGGAATTCTGGGAGTTGAAGTCCACAGGTCAAAAAGAGGCCTAGGTCTAGGCCAAAGGTAGATAAGCTTGGCTCTTTTATAACTCGTGGACTTCAACTCCCAGAATTCCTGAGCCAGCCATGCTGAGGGGAAAGGGAGAGGTTTCCAAGCTGAGCCATGTTGGCTCAGGAATTCTGGAAGCTCAAGTCCACAGATCATAAAGCGGCCGTAGTTCCTCATGCTGGCTCAGGAATTCTGGGAGTTGAAGTCCATGAGTCATAAAAGAGCCAAGGTTGCCTACCCCTAGGCTAGGGTTTCTCGACCTTGGCAACTGGAAGATGGGTGGACTTCAACTCCCAGAATTCCCCAGCCAGCCTTGGAAGAAAAAGGCCTCAGAGTCTTAAGCTTCCCTTTTTTTTTCTTCAAAATTGCAAAATTATCTCTTATTGAAATTCTGGCCGGTTCTTCCTTATTAAAGACAGCCCAGACTAGAGGACATAATGTTGTATGTATATTCATTTCCTTTCTTTAAAAGATGTTTATGCACTAATGGATTCTATTACATCCTTGATTATTTCCTAGAGAAAAATACGAGATTAATCTCTGCTGACATCCTGTTCAAATGGACTTCATTTCATTTGACTAAGAACAACCAAAAAGTGCTGCTGGACAAAACTCAGCAGCACTTTTTCGTGAGGCTGCTGATAAAAACAGGATCGCCAACATGATCACCAACGTCCGATAACGGATATGGCACAAGAAGAAAAACAACCATCGAGCAATTGTAACTAGGAGAAGGCAGTTTAAAATCATGAATGTTATGCAGACAGAAAAAGATGCAGAAAAACTCCTCTATCCTTTTTATTCCTTTTTTTAAAACAAAAAAACAGAATAATTTTATAATAATAATAATGGAATGTTTGTACTTTGAAACCTGTCTGCTGCCCACAGTCAGAAGGGCAGTCGTAGAAATGGAATTCAATAAATCCATTTTAAAAACCAAACAAGCAAAATGCAATTAACGCACATTCACCTGCTTGCTTCAATTCTCATCTTTTATTACTGAACTGTTACACTTTTAAGCAGTTTGGCAGTCCTGGTTTTTGCACCATGTTGTCTCTGAACCAGGCTGCAGAAACGTTTTGACGACTGATTAGTTTCTAGTGTTTGGATCGGCTTACCCCGTATTCTTGGCAAAATCTCTCTCTCTTGAGGATAATTCCGTGGACGTCAAATCTTCCAATCAGTAGGCTGCAAATAAAACAGCAAAATTTATTTTTACTTTGGTGTTTCCGCTGCACACAAAAAGAAGTGACAAGGTGTGAATGAAATGAAGGACTAGGGGTGACAGGATAGCAATCTTCCAATATCTCAGGGGCTGCCCCAAAGAAGAAGCAATGGCTGGAAACTAATCAAGGAGAGAAGCAACCTGGAATTAAGGAGAAATTTCCTGATACTGAGAACAATTAACCAGTGGAACAACCTGCCTCCAGAAGTTGTGAATGCTCCAACACTGGAAGTTTTAAAGAAAAGATTGGACAACCATTTGATATGATTGGTTCCGAACTTTTCCTAAGTAAGGAAGTAAGGAAGTAAGGAAATAGGAACAGAGAAAAGGAAGGGAAGGGTAGGGAAGGAGGGAGGAAGAAGGAAGGAAAACATGGAAAGAAAGGGAGGGAGGAATAGAAGGAGAAATAAAGGGAAGGAAGAAATGAAGGAGGGATGGAGGGAAGGAAGGAAGGAAAGAAGGAAGGAAAAGAAGAAATGGAGGAAGGTAAGAAGAACAAAGGGAAGGGAAGGGAAGGGAAGAGGGAGGGTGGGATGGAACGAAGGAGAAAAAGAAGGAAGAAAAAGAAGAAATGCAGGAAGGTAAGAAGAACAAAGGGAAGGGAAGGGAAGGGAAGGGAGGAAGGAAAGAAGGAAAGAAAAGAAGAAATGGAGGAAGGTAAGAAGAAAGGGAAGGGGAGAGGGAGGGAGGGAGGAAGGAAGAAAGGAAGGAAGGAAAGAAGGAAGGAAGAAAGGAAGGAAGGAAAGAAGGAAGGAGAAATAGAGAGAAGGAAGAATTGAAGGAGGGAGGGAAGGAAGGAAGGAAAGAAGGAAGGAAAAGAAGAAATGGAGGAAGGTAAGAATAAAGGGAAGGGAAGAGGGAGGGAAGGAGGGAGGGAGGGAGGAAGGAAGGAGAAATAGAGAGAAGGAAGAATTGAAGGGAGGAGGGAGGAAGGGAGGGAGGGAAGGAAGGAAGAAAAATGTTTATACACTAACTTTGTTTTGATCTTTCACAACCTCACCACCAATTTCCCCAAGCTCTTATTTTCTTAACAGTAAACTCTCATACAGACATTTCGGGTAACGCACAAACTGCAATTAATGAATATTTTTCACAGCAACAGCCGGTATTTAGCACCTTGAAGTACTGTATTTAGCACTCTCCTTTATTTGAGAGATGTCACCTTGAGGTCAATGTGTATGGGCATTTAATTTTTTAGAAAAATCCCTTCTGCAATAAAAAAAAAAAAAAAAAAAGAGGCTTCAGCTTTGGGAAGAGCGACAGATAAGGTTGTGTTGCAATCCTTCAGAAACAGCTGGCCGGCACAGATGTTATTACGGAAAGGAAATCTGGGGAAATGATGACGTTATCTAGAGATGCCTGGGCTCTCATTTATTCATTTGCTGACTACCTCAACTTATATACCCTTTAATCTTCCTTTCCCTTAAGTGGGACATGCTGTTTTGGTCTGGTTTGGACCCTGGACATAATTTCATCCACAATTTAAAAAGCTGCTTCCCATAAAAAAAAAAATTAAAAAAATGGCAAACCACCGGCATATGCCGGCTTACCATTTATACATTTTGGGAAGGGATTCCCTAAGCAAAACTATTGGTGTTTTTTTTTTTTTAACTTTAAAAACCAAAGTTGGGAAATATTAGGACTTAATCATGAGAAGGAGAATGAATATTTAATATTGCATGTATTGACAGCAGCGAGAATAGTATTTGCCCAATCCTGGAAAAATGAAAACTGACCAACTGAAGAGGTTTTAATTAAGAAAATCTTAGAATGTGCAGAAATGGATAGATTGACTTTTACAGCTTAAAGAGAAAGAAGATTCAATTTATTTTAGATCATGGGATAACTTTTACCGACGGTTAGGAAAACGAACTAGTGAGAAACGAAAGGTGATATGTTATTTTGAATACATGCTAGTAAGAAGAATGATATGCGTTGATTAATTGATACCATTTATGATTATTGTTTATTATATTTACTACAGTTACCTATCACTATGTTAACTATTGTTAGCTGAATATATGTACCCGGACAATAGTCTGTTTGCTAAATATTGAAAATGTTATTGGGGGATAACCCCAATGCTGATCCCAACCCTGTCCTAATCCCAATCCTGATCCTGACCCCACCCTACACCTTAATCCCTATCCCGACCCTATTTTATCCCTAACCCTATAAAACTCAATAAAATCTCTTTAAAACAAAAAACAAAGTTGGAAGTCGCATGAGACCACGGGACATTGCAACCGTCATAAATATGAGTCAGTTGCCCAGCATCTGAATCTTTTCTTTTTTGTAAAAAGTTTTTATTTTCAATTTTACAATACATTACATTCTTAAAAATACTTCAGATAAAAAATAAAACAAATTGATACATACCACTTTCGGTATTGCTCACCCATTTCCCTGAATCTTGATCACGTGATCCCAGGCGATGCCGCAATGGACGTGTCAAAAACAGTCCTGGGTCACTTGTTCCAATGCCGTTGTTAACTTCAAATGGCCACTAAGCAAATTGTTGTTAAGTTAAGATTGCCTGTATAAATGCTGGCTGGGGCATTCTGGAAGTTGAAGTCCCCCCCCCCCCGTCACAGAATTGTCAAGTTTAAGAAATTCTGTTGTCGGCTAAGGAGCCTATAAATGTCACTTTTTAAACACAAATACTCCAATCTATCTGATGTAAGCAATGACTTTATCAGCCAGGCTCTAAAGCAGAGAAAATTTAATTATTTCGTACTAAAATATTACCAGCAACTTTTACTTCCTTGTGGATATCCGGCTTAAAATATGTGCACCATTAACCAAGGAGTCCGCTGCACACAAATAATGAGATACATGCACACAAACAGACACAAAATTAAAAGCTTGGAACGGAAGCCAGGACAATAAAACGATTCAACACCCATCGCGGCCGCCTTGCCATTATTAAAAGACACCCTAGGAAAAAGATCACAAGTGATGATGGAATATTTTACACCAGGCTTGAGAATGGGGAAACTGTGTTTGTGTTTGGGTGTCATTTCAGGACACACAGTTGTGCCACACAAACCTTTCCATTAGGCTTTGTATTGGCGCTGTCAACTTACTGGATGTTTAGTGGCTGTTGCCAATGGTGAGGCTATGAACGTGGGAAATGAGTCATTATATGGTGCCAATTTTGTCTAGAGAAAGAGTTTGGCCTAGTGCAGGGGTAGGCAACCTCGGCTCTTTGATGACTCGTGGACTTCAACTCCCAGAATTCCTGAGCCAGCCATGCTGAAGGGAAAGGGAGAGGTTTCCAAGCTGAGCCATCTGGCTCAGGAATTCTGGGAGTTGAAGTCCACGAGTCATAAAACAGCCTAGGCCTAGGCCAGGGGTAGACAACCTTGGCTCTTTTATGACTGGTGGACTTCAACTCCCAGAATTCCTGAGCCAGCCATGCTGAGGGGAAAGTGAGAGCTTTCCGAGCTGAGCCATGCTGGCTCAGGAATTCTGGGAGTTGAAGTCCACGAGTCATAAAAGAGCTAAGGTTGCCTACCCCTGGTCTAGTGGTTAAGGCGCCAGGCTATAAAGTAACAGAGTGTGAGTTCTAGTTTCGCCTTACGCAGGGAATTTGGCTGACTGACTCTGGGCCAATCACAAGGAGACAGTGAGTTCTAGTTCCACCTTAGACATGAAAATCAGCTGGGTGACTTTGGGACTGTCACCAGGAGACGGTGAGTTCTAGGCCCTCCTTAGACATGGAAGCCGGCCAGATGACTTTGGGCCAATCATCAGGAGACTGTGAGTTCTAATCTCACCTTAGGCATGAAAACTGGCTGGGTTACTTTAGGACAATCACCAAGAGATGGTGAGTTCTAGTTTTATGTTAGGTATGAAAGTCAGCTGGGTGACTTTGGCCCAATCACCAGGAGACAGTAAGTTCTAGTTTCACCTTAGGCATGAAAGCCAGCTGGATGCAGTGAGTTCTAGTTCTGCTTTAGGCATGAAAGCCAGCTGGGTGACTTTGAGCCAATCAGCAAGAGATGGTGAGTTCTAGTTTACCTTAGGTATGAAAGCTAGCTGGGTTACTGTATAGGACAATCACCAGGAGACGGTGAGTTCTAGTTCTACTTTAGGCATGAAAGCCGGCTGGCCAATCAGATCACAGTAGGATAAAGTTATCGATGTCAGGTATTGAAGCTGAGAGGAGGACATTTGTCAGTGTGTTATGTAATCGCTATCAAGTTGGCTGGGTTTTTTTGTGTTCTTTCATTGAGTGAGTGTGTAAAACGTAACAAAATTAAAGTCGTGGTGCAAAGAGTTGACTGGTTGCCCAGAAAGCAATGTAAAATAGTATTATTAGGTGAACAAGGCTACAGTTACAAAGAAATGAGAAGAAAAATGGGTGGAAACTTAACCAAAGGTGGCTTTTCCCAAAAGGTTTCCACAATTTTGGCCACTACTGTACTCTACATTGCCCCCAAATCCATCACCCGCGTTCATTCACTTCTCTGGGTGAAGAAAAAAATAAAATAAAATAAAATTGGAATTCTATTTGCTAGCGAATGACGTTGGCAACTCCTATGCTGAACTGCAACCTCTCAAACGGAACACCCACAATCCGATTTTGACATTATTAATGCTAGCACGAGAAGGCAATCAAAAAGAAGCTGAAATCCCGGCCGTTATTTATGGATTCGACGGACAAAAAATATTCAGCGGTCTGATAAACTTCCATTTCACGGCTGAAAGCATCCCATAATAAGCCTTGGAAGGAACAGCACAATAAGTACAAGGTTACAGCCGGGCTGGGCTATATCCTTTCGTTTAACCACAGAAGGCGGTCTGATGAAAACGTTCTAGCAAAACTCAGAGGAGCAGAAATATTCGTTTCCCTTGAATGAGCAGGTTTTGTTCGTGATCAACAAGGAGGCGAAATTAGAGAATTGCTCGGATTCTGACAAAGCCGTGATCAATGGCGCTGCCAACATAAAGCAAAGCC